ATAGTTTCCTCACACCGGTGGTAGTCAGCCCTGCTCGTTCGTGACACTGTGATACTTTGAGGATACTTTGCGCAAACAGAGTTGTTGAAAGTTGTCCAAACGATTTTCATGACGATACATGTTTCGAGACTGTGCATGAGCGCGAACACGACTGCTTTCAGAATGGAGATCTTTGCATAGTCCGATTCTACTGTATGTTACACGGTCTGCCATGACCTGCTGATGACAATCCGATAAGCCGATTCACTTCAGGAATAATGTCGCCATCGTTAGTACTTGAAATTCGAAGTACTTGAAACTTGCCATCGTGATTCCATTCGTTATTCCTTAAATCCTTAATATCCTCGGATTGTCGGTCGCGACAGGTGTTCTCATAATCTTCGTGCTTTCGATGATCATTTGTACAGTCACTTTCACGGCGCTGTTGCGCACGCATTCACTGAATGTCAGAAGGCCACTTGTAAAGTCGCTCAGCAACCGAACCTCATCGCCATACTCGAGGTAAGAAGTAAGAATACCGCCGGGCATCTCCAGCTGCGACGCTGACTAACGCCTAGTCCTGCACTGTTATTTAGAACGACGTACATCCGCATAAGGTAGTTTGTCATGATGTTGAATAACAAACAGAAGAGCTCCTCGCCTTGACTAACTCCGCTAATAACGCTAAACCAGTCGATCTGTGATTCTTCCGTTCGGACGGCGCATTTGGTCCCCCTGTACAGAACTTCCCTCATGTTTTCTGTGGAATGCACGAGTGCAGAATAACATGTCACACTGTCTGGCGTTGAACCGAATCGGAAGACGACCCGGAGATTCAGCAACGTCGCGTGCTATGGAAGTGAGAACTTCCGGCACAAAGAAGTCGTCGGTGCATAAGTGCCCACGTCGGAAGCTTGTTTGGTTACTTCACAGCGAAAGAGCGATGCATTTCCTTAGTCTTCCAAGTATGATTCGGGAGAAAACCCTCTTCAGCACCGGCAGGAGGGCTGCTTTTGACTTTGGCCATATGCAGTCGAAATCCAGAGAAGAAGGTTTTCAGGATTGATGCCCCAGTCCATTGAACTTCGAGTTTCGCCGCTCAGAATTCTTCGATCGATGATGGGATGCAGTAAACATCAAGATACTTTCCAACTTTCTCTTCCCTTTGGCGATTTATGGCAGGACCAGGCACACAGAAGATTTACCGACGAATTTTGTGAAGATGTCTATAATAACTACTCCAACGTTCTTAGGATTATGCTATTTAAGAAGAGTTGTGAAGCAAAGCTAATCGCAGCTACAAAGCTTCTTGCGCCTTTACATAGGTATCGGTTTTGCTCTTCGAATATAATCAAAAGAAGTTAGTTTCTGATTAATAATAACAAATCACATAGGAAACACATAGGAAACGAAGAATATCATGTCCCCACCTTCTTTCATATCTTTAACCATACGTTCTTTTCCTCTTGCCTGCAGTACGAGAGGCTTTCCCACTAGTGTGTTTTTTTCTCACACGAAACGTTTTAATTTTACTACTTTCATTTTCTGAATATTAATATTTCGTTAAGTAGTGAAAAAATTATTCCTCAGTCTACGTTCAGAGCGCATGTTTTGTCACCTTCAAATAACCAGTAGTTACTTTCAGCATGGGACCTGGGCGTACAGCGTGGAACAACCGGGGAACCAGTTCAACATACACGACATGAAACTGGTATGTGTCAAAACCTC